TCAATCTTGTAATTCATCTGCATGCCACACACATCACTCATATCAAAACATACCAGAAGAGAAAACAATTGATAGACATGCTGTTAAACTAGTGGTATTCTATGTTACTTTCTAGTTGTTCCTAATTTGAAAGCTAGGGTTTGATTCACATGATTCTCACTGCAATTGTTTTTTGCCCCTTAAACACAGCAACATGTGTTTAAAAATGTCACAACTCCAATTTTCATTAAACCTTCTGATTTCAAAAATTGGAAAATCGAATCTCCAAAGCTTCTTTTACTAAGAGCTTTTCACAAGATGACTGAAGAATTATGATACCAGTGTTGCAATATTACAGTAGGTCACTGTTGTAATACTAGAAAGCATGTGATGTATGAAATATTCAACTAGTAGCAACACTGGTTGAATATTTTTTCCAACTTCTAAAGAAAGATATAAAGATGGTAAATGTTTCTCATTGCTTTATTAATTTTAAAAATAATTCATATTAAGGTCTCATCAATATTGTACCATACAAATAGAAACATCAACATAGACATAATAAGGATTTATTTGTAACATAACTTAGGCCTACTTTACAAATAGTTTATTCCACAAGTCCTCAGTTCTGACATTTCATCTAATTTTTAAGTGTCATTAACGAATCAAATATCAATGAATATCTTTATGATAGACCATGGAAGATTTTCATTTGAAAAGCCAATAACAACATTAATCAAATCTGAAAACTTGTCAAATAAACTACATGATAAATCAATAATTGAATCAATACAGGAACAAATTTTTAACAAGTGGTAAAACAAAATATTTTATAAACAAATATACAATTTTATATACTCTAAATCAAGTCAATCAAAAACTCACAACTTTCATTTTACTTTTATGTTAGCTGGTGTAACTGGCATCACAACAAAATTCAAAATTGCATCAATCCTACATTACATTACTTCAAATCTCTTTTACATAAGCATTGTTTTATAACCATCATGTGATGTCAGTTTCCCAGACAACTGTAAGAACAGCACTCATAAAATTATTTTATGGACTCAACTAGAGTTTATATTAAAAAAATATATTTTTTGGACAGATACTCCTTTGAATATCAGCCATTCTGAGACAGCGTAAAACAACCAGTCCCTTCATACAGTTGCAGTCACTCACAATCATAAAAGATCTCTTGACTACTCCTGAAATTTATACTTTAAATTTAACACATCTGATCCATAATGGGTTTCTAAAAATTGACTGCATATTTCAGGAAATAAATGTTTAATACTTCAAAACCTGTGAAGCTGAAAAAATATTACATATCAAATACGTATCGAAGATGTTATATATCAACAAATTATTTGCAGATATTCCTTTTCATAATTTTTTCCATGCAATTATATGCATGAATTTTTCAAATTATTTATTACAAAACTTCTTTGAGTTTGATGTCTCACAGAAGTATGCATCGTCTATAAAAATGCATTAAATCTTCAGTCAACCAACACTAGAATATCTTTTCAAAATATTCAATTGTAGGCAAATCGGCAAAATGGAGGGGGAAAAAAAAAGTGTGTGAAATGTTTGCTACATTGTAAGGGAGAGGATGGAACATTTTGTATTTAATTACAATTGAATGTGCTTCATTTGTCATGTTACAAAGAGTGTACAGAGCAGTGTTTCTTGATGGGCAAAAAATTGTTTATAAAACAAAATTTAGAAAAACAGTTCTACGACATTTCACATCTATAAAACACACATGTTGTTGTTGTTTAGCAGTAGTAGTAGTAGTAGCAGCAGCAGCAGTAGTAGTAAAAACTATTAAAATAACTTGAATTATTTTAATTCATTTTAAATTCCATGTATTGATAAGCCTCATCAATGACATGTCATTGTATGTAATTATTTCCCACAAACAAAACTATTTTATAAGAAAGTTAAACAATAAGTACATTCTAAAAATAAATATACAACAGTAGTACTTTCTTAAATAATGAACAGAGAGAAAGTACATTACAAATTTTATAATACAGAAAAAACTTGTAAGTGCTTCATCACAAAAAGAAACAAAACGGGTAAGGTCACCAAAGTTTGCCTTGCACCAAATTCAAGAAGTACATTAATACACATGTTTACTTTGGATCACTGATTTCAGTATTTACACTGCAAAGAAAGCCCATATATGAAAATTGAAACATTGGCAAAACAGACTTTGGTGTTGCATAAACAGCCAAGAGCACTTGAAACATAGCCAGTCTGACTATTATTTACCTCAGCATTAGGGAACTTGGATGTCACGTCAGTCTCATTCTCAAAATAACATAAAAATAATAACACAAACTTAAAGGTTGCAAAACATTCACCAACTAACACATTTTAAAATTTCAAATTAAATACTTTTGTACAAAGCAAATTTTCTATTTATTTAATGAAACAGATAAAGAGAAGATTTCAGTTTACTGAAATTGTGTGTTTAGGGTAATTGGATAAATGTTGGATAAACATTTGTGATTTCTCTTTTATTTTGGGTGGCAAAAATTATGAAGGCATGGACGAAGAAACAAATAATATTGAAGAGCAATATTGGAGATTGAGTTGTTCTAATGAATAATAAATGTGTGTTTGTACATGGGGGGATTAAAACAACTTCTCTGAAATAAGATGCTCAAGAGTGAAGCTAAAAAGTAAATAAGGAAAAAGTAAAGTAATAATAATTATTATGATAATAATAGAAGGAAGAAGACAATAATATTAATTATGAAGTTAAAGAGCAAAAATTTGTTAGTTTCCTGATACATTTTGAAAAAATTAAATTAGAGGAGTTAGAAATTAGAATTTGTTCAGACACACTGTTATGAAGCAAATTGTAACACACTTCTATAACAATAATATGGTTGTGATTACAATGATTTTATTATTACATCTTTCATATAAAATATTCAAACAAAAACAATCTAAACTACTACTGTGAATTATCCTTGTTCTTCTGATCTATTTCACTTCAATATGGCGATACCATTGAGATTTCAAAAGTAAAAAAGAAAGAAGGTAAGCCACCGAAGACTAAAAATATGATTTAAATCAAGAATCAACCTCAATAAACACCAAATCGCAAAAGATTTACAGAATGTAGGTGTGAAGATTATCAATATTTTTTTAAATTTTATCTACAATCTTGGTTCTTTTCAGGATTGCCAAATAATAACGAGCATGTATAAAACATATACAAAATGAATTGATTTTTTATTTCACACATTTAATGCTCTATTATCTCTTTCTTACAAACATCATAATTGGCAGCGGACCTCGATTTACACACAAATTCCCTAACACTGAATTTGATTTTGTGTTCATCAGAGCTATTTGTCCTGCTTGTGGTACATAGAAACTTGATAAGCAAGTAATAAGGTGTGTACTTACAGCACACTTTTTCTTTATACTACAGCTTCATATATTTCCTTCATACAACACAGAAATACAGGCTCCACTTAGAGGGACATTATCTTGTTACAATTTATAACCTGAAAACCCGATTCCAGTTGCTTTACTGTTCATTCTATTTAATGAATTATGAGTTCAATGAATTTTTATGTGACAACTTTGCAGTTTCCTTGGGTTTTGGCATAATGATTTATAATATTCACAAGCACTTGCATTGAAACTGAACTTGAAATCTAATACCAGTAATTTTGTTGCTTATTTTGATTTCTTTATGAACTTAATGGTACCTTAAACAACTTTTAAACTTTTCTTGTAATTTACCATAAAGATTTATAATAAATAAATGTACATTACTTAAAGCCCATCCATAATTTAATATTATTTTTTAATTATTTAGATAACTTTAACATTAATTTTTTCATAGTGCTCAGCATGCATGAACAGAAACTTAAGCTCATTCTCCCCTCCCTTAGGCCTGCATAACATGAGCATTGTGTTGACAAATCATGGTAGATCAATATTGTCTTATGCAGGATGGGGAAAGTGCTTATGTGTCATTTCGCATAAGATACAGTGTTACTTACACACATCAACGCAATGTTCATGAGCAGGGGCCCATCGTGCCAAGAAAAAGTGTCGTGGTAGAAGTAACTGAATTGCCCAAAATTTACTTTTCTTTAATACAAACAATCCTACAATGACATTTTATTACACACCAACTGAAAATATGTACGATGCACGCAGCAGAAAATAGCTTAAGGTATTTACTGTGAATGTCCTTTCTCACTTGCTCTGCACACCCCTTCAAAGATAAAAGTTATCTTCCTGGTATTTGCTTTTGTATTGAATTTTATTAAAAGATGAGATGAAAATAAAAAATAAAAATTAACATATTTATAGATATATTACAACTAATATATGTATATATATTGACATAAAACTATAAAGCACTTTCACAAAACATGTAAGACTCGTAATATTACTACCAAATATTTCACAAGGTTGATCCAAAATTATCTAAAATGTTTCTAACATTGAATGAAAAAAATATGCACACAGATTTTGCTTCTATTTACTTAAATATTTGTTGGTAGCAATGGGAACTACAAATTGTTTGTTTTTTTTAATTCCCACTTCATAAATATGTACATATAAAATGTAAAATATATATTCTACTGTAGAACATAACTATAGATTTTACTAAATATTGTTCATAATCAAGACCGTGATTATGCGAGTCCTCTCTCTCACAATATTTCTTCATTATCATGATAATTGCCAGAGTACTGTTGCTAAAATGGTCCTGTACTCCAAAACACAGTATGGTGATTCACATTTAAGCAACTATTCTTGAAAACCTGTTTCTTCAATTCAAGTTTCAAATACTGACATTTATTTTCCTTGCTTTCAAAAAATCAAAGTAAATGCACTTCAAGAGACGTATCAAAGTCTTCTCACCAACAATGTCCAACAATTTCTCCCACATACAAATGAATAATTCTTCATTCACAATGATTTGCCACTAATACCTCCTCAAACAAAGTATCAAAAAACCAATGCTGTAAATGGAACTATGCAATAGGCTCAGTGGACTGAGGCAAATCAGAGTCTGTTGTAGAAGTATTCATGACTGAGGAATCTGTTACAGTAGTACTGGAAAATGCCATTTCGACACTATTCAATGGGGGTCCTTCTACTGCACCTCCAGTGTTCTCATCATTGTCACTTCGACTACTAACACCTTCCATACCTCCGGCTTGTGCTGTAAGATTCACAAGCGATTGAAATCCTTCCTTCCCTAACGTAGAAGCAAGATCACAAAATGAATCTACATTATAGGGTGTTTCATCACTTGCTTCGGGCACTCTGTGACGTTTTGGATCTCCGTATATTAAACAATTGATATTAGGAGATGAACTACGGTCCCTGTTATGGGAAACTGCACCACTTTCTTGTTCTTCAAGGAAACGATCCATGTAATCTGTAATACCTGGGTGTAAAGTATATTTCTTCTTTTCCAAGCGGGCTTTATTTGCAAATATATCATGTCTTTCTGTTTTCTTCCAAAGGTAATAAAACTGAACCAATTCACCAACAGATCTTGTACGAACCTTATTTTGTTGAATGAGATGGAAATCTTTACCATAATTTCTTAGGCCATTTTCAAAATTTCTACATTCTTCTTCTGACCATAAACTCATTGTATCTGTAGGAGGAACAACATTCATACGCCTTCTTCGTAATGCTTCCTCTACATTGTAACCACACTGCAACAGAAGGTATAAGGCTTGTTCGTCATCTCGTGTATGAGCACCAGTGGGAATTGCATGAACTCCCTGCGGATTATTCACTAAAGACTCCTGGGCTTTCACAAGAAATTCCTCTACATCTTTCTCGCTTAAATTAGCAGGATTCCACAAAAGTTTATCTTCATTTTCATAAGGAAGGGCATCATCATACTTGCAAAGGCCTTCTGGGATACCTGCCTGATAGTCACTACCTACCATAATTGTTTTCCTCCACTCTTCTTCATCAGGACTGTAGTCATAATCATCTTCTTCCTCCTCACTCTGGGGTCTGGATAGTCTTAAAAGTCTTGAAGTACCTGCATTCTCCTCTGTTCCTTTTTCTGGAGAATATAGCTGTCGAAGTTCAGCATGGTCTGATTTCTCTTCATCTTCTCCCAACATTTCTCGACTCATATCATCATTTTCAATGGTTAATTCATGGTTTGACATTTCTTCAGAGCTACTCGACTGCATATTTTCAGCTGTAGGGTCACCGTATCCATACATGGCCAAAAGCTCCTCCAAAGGCATATCACCTTCACGCTGGAGGTTGGAGAGTTCAGTCTGAGGATCTTCTTGGCATTCTAGAGCTTCTTCTTCATCAAGTGTTCTTTCATCATCAAAATCATTCACCATCATCTCCACAGGAGGGTCAAATTCTTTATCCACCAGCTTCCTGCAGTTGTCCTCAAGTTCTGTAAGAAAATGAATTTTTTTGTTGATTTTGTATTCATTGTTACTGTTTTTTGAAAAACCAGGTTCGATAATGACTGAAAAAATCAGGTATTCAAGGGTTCTAGTTTAATACTGGTGTCCAAACTGTAGTGAGATGATGAATGATTGTGAAGACAGGAAACCAAATTGCCAAAGTTGGTTGTGTTCCATTCCACAACACACAAAAAATGTATAGTAAATTTTACATTAGGCGTGACAAAACATTTGCCACAAAACAGATTTCAAAAACTGACATTCAAAGACATTTCATACATATATCTTACAACCCCACAACTTTTAAAGATAATACACTTCAGCATCACCATAACAGTATTACAGTACACATTATAATTGACAATATTCATTAACTGTTTAAAACAAAAGAGATCATGATACAATTTGCAAGAAAAATGCAATTTTTAATCACAACACTTTAAGAATGGAACATTAAGAGAGTTCATTTGTTTACAAGTAGTTGTTTCCACATGTATGACACAAAAACACTTTTACATCTCTATTCACAACTTTAAGAGCTAATGTACATACAAGATTGCTCTTATTCACAAATTTTCAAAATTGGCAATATGATGTAACATTGCATATAGGGTAATAAAACGCCAGAAACGCAGCTCAATACCAACCAACTGGTTTTGACGGGAACCCAGGTTGTGATGCATTGGTGTGTCGATGCTTGTTTGATGAGCGTAAGTCAGTCATCTGGTTGTCTCTAACAGAACTTCGATACGCGGTAAAATCCAACTGCTGATGCGCATCTAAAATAAAGAGCGGCAATTCATTGGGTTTCATTTTTATGAGCTACATTGTTCAGTGCTGCACTAATATATTAATGAAACGACACTTCTTAGGTTAGAGTGTCGGTGGAGATGTAACAGGAAACGCTCTCACAAAATGAATACTGTAGCTGAACAGCAGGCCGGCAGAAAAGCACTATTAACAAGCAAATAAAACATCTCTGCCCGTATTTCATCGCTTAGTACAAAGGTATACTTGCCATAATTGTGGAGGATTATAAAGCTTCACATCTTGCTCAAAACGCACAAACTTATGTTTATGTGAGCCAACTTCAGCACCGCCCTCTAAACACGCTGTTTTGACAGAAATGGACGACATTGCACTGAACCGCCATTATTTGAAACTAGTACAGTCACGTAGGTCTGAGCCAAACTTAAAAGTAGCTACTGCTACGTATTTTATAAAGAAAAAATGAGTTGTGTTACTTGAATCATACTTATTTATCCTTAGGTAAAACGTGATCCTTATTGCCGTTGCAAGAACTCAAAAAGTTTGGTTGCTCAGGGAAGAGGCCTTGGAGGCCTTCTAATGGTTGGTAATGTCCCGAACGATCGAGGATAATTTGTCAGGAAAATCGCGGTATTCTTAAAATCCATCGTTCAAAAGCAATAGTACATTCACGGCAAAAAATATAAAAATCGTATGCAGGTATAGCTACAGATCGAAGTTTCGTTTTAAAATTGAACAAACTCATTAAATGTGTGAGTTGCAATGAATTTTGCCTATTTCAAACTTACGACATGAAACATTACTTGTTCTAGCACTCATGATCAGGAGTCCTTTCGTTAACATTTGTCAAAGAAGAGATTTGTTTCTCCCCCATGCAGTTACAAAGAAGTTTAAATATAACAAGCATGAGAATACAAGCTGCGAATGCATTAAAATAAGTTATTTCGTCTTATCTGCGTATCATGACAGATTATGAAGACTGAAGTACACAGTCCAAGTATTTATATTGTATATATTGCGATTTCAAATTGCTAATATTCATTTCCAGTGATCTAATAAAATAATGCTTGCAGTGATCTAATAAAATAATAATAATCCTTTGAATACAATAGTGCATTGTAAATAAAAAAGAAAGCGCTTAAGTTAAGTCGCTAATGTTCGGTATAATTGTACATAATAGTGGGTCTAAAGTTCAGAATTCGCATTAGTATCATATATTGGAATGCGTCAAGTTGACGCCGTCAACACCAGTTTGATTATTCAATGGATAAACTTGCGTTTGCGTCCATTGCAAGGGATTTTTGTCGCGGTAGGTTGCAGGCATGGATGATACACCGATAAGTAGAGTGTTTTTATAGTTGACTTTCGAACATTTCAGGGTTATGGAAACGAAAATTGTTGGTATATTACGATTTTTCGAATCAGAAGTACCATTCTTGCGTTGTTTGGTTTATGATTTTTGAGGAAGCACCGAACATGAGATACCTTTTATTTCTACGCATTGCAATATAAATGCAATATGACGCTTCCATTAATAAGGAGAATATTAAAATTTTTCACTTGTTCCGCTTATGCCCCTTGAAACAAAGAAATTACTAGGTTCCAATACACCATACAATCTGTGTAGCCAATGAGATTTAAGTTAATGACGGAAGTCGTGAATTAAAATGGTTAGCCATGCATTGGAGATTGTGAGATGCATAGTTCCTGGCTGTGAGAATGCCAACATCTCCTGCCCTGAGAAAAGTTTTTTTCTCCTTTCGGCCCACGAAGAAAGGTACGCTCCTAAACTAATTGAAAGAACCACTCTTCCATATCAGTTTATTGTTGTTCAATTTTTAATGTAAATTTAACACTTACCCCTATCTTATATTTACTTTCTTTTTGTGGAACAACGTGCAGATGTCAACACTGGTTGTTAGTTTGTAAAAGGGAAGATTTGTTAGAAAATGCTTCGGCATATGATGAATTTGCTATATGTTCTGATCATTTCATTGATGATCAATTTCAAAATATAGCTCACACCAAGCTTAAAGATAATGCTGTACCAACCATTTTCCCTTCACATCAGACAATGCATTTTAATTCTCACATAAATGTTGTTGAAGGTATGTTATAATTGTTTATTGATCCTTAAATTATTAATATGCAATACAATTTATAATGTTTGAATTAAATTTGAAATGTTTCAGATAGCATAGTATTCATTAAATCTGAAGAAACTCCTTTAATTAATTATGATGTGATTAATGAAGGTGAGCAAGGTAGTAATAACTTTGAGAATGGAGATGTGAAGTCCACGCAACAGTTGTGCCGTCTATGTGCAAATGTTGCCGAAGAAATGGTGTATTTATTTAATCCTCCTGGGAAGAATATGCATTTAGCTCAAAAAATAAATGCTAGTCTGCCAGTAACTGTGAGTGAATGTCATTGCTCTTACATTTAAATATTATTGTCAGTAGTACTTATTACAATATTAAGAATTTGTCGTCTCCTTTAATTTTACATTTTATAAATACATCAGTGGTGTTTTGTACTGTATGAATATTTATAGTATGAAGAGTTCAGTTTTTTTGTAGCATTCATTAATACACTGATTAATTATTAACAATGTATTACACCATTGTTTTTTTTTTTATTAAGTTTTAATTGAAGATTTTTTTCAATACTTAATAGGATGTATTTTGAATTTAAAGAAGTGTTGTTTTAACAATATTTTTGTGCTGGTCTTATTGTGTGCAGGATGTTAACATATAGAAATCTATTTTTTTTTCTTAAAAACTGGAGAAACACCTTTGTTACCTGACAAATTGTTTTAATAATTTAATAACTAAGTAATGTTTTCAGCTTTCTAAATACTTAGTAGTACTTGGAATAGCAAAACAAGAATAGCTCCTTTGTTTTGAACTTGTGTAATCCTGTATTACATGGAAATATTTTAATACAAACATCTATTTTCTAAGATACCAAGTTTTCTTACTTTCTAAGGAATTATTATTTGATAATTGAAATATTCCTTTAGTGTATGTCTACAGTGATGATAAAGTGTTGCAACAGGTGGAGGATGTAATCAATCAATTCTTGAAATTTCTTCAGGTAGTTCATCAGTCAATTGCCTATACCAGGTTTTGTTTTCTTCTGATTAGTTTTTTAATTATCAGTATTAATTCGTATTGCAAACTGAGCTGAGATATACTTCAATTGAACTGTTGTAATCTAGTTATGCAAGCTACAAACTCTGATAAGATCTGTAGTTTTCAAACACCACATTCAGTTGGCTGGTTTTGACAGTTTTGCATAACATTAAGGTAACTACTGAGTATGTCATATTTCAAATGTGGAAGATCGTATCACAATTTTCTTGTTGCTTTTACCAACTACTTTTTTTAATTCTTAGTTTGAGAATAAAATGGTCAACCTCCTAATTTATCTCAAGTCATTTCCCTTTCAATTTATATGGATGGTTCCAGTGAAAGCATTGATCCTCAGTTTCTTATCTTATTTATATCTTAGTTTGAAAACAACGGAAATAATTCAGAATATACCATTCCCTAAAGAGCAATTTTAGGGGTTGAAAATAAACCATACAAATTAATGTGTTAAGAACAATCCTTGAAATGTAAATATTGACTTTGAGTAAAATAAGTGAATTGATAATGGTGGGACCTTAAGATTAAGATATTAAGGTTCCTATTTGTACAAGGTATTTTACATCCAATCTTCAGTCATTCCCAGGTTGAAGATTTTTAATACATCTCTGAAGTTAAAATAATGATATATAATATTTTTGTTGTGATCATTCCATGAAAATACCTAACAACTAGTAGCTTCTATGAGAAGAGTGTTATTTTGTATTGCATTATTAGGTTATTTAGGAAAAACATTTATTGCCCCTTTAAAATTTTTGCCCTTCAATTTGTTGCAGGTTCGTGATTCTGATCCCCTTCCAAAACAACTTTGTACAATCTGTGTAACTAAAGTTAATATGTGTCATGAATTCGCAGAAATGTGTGTACTTGCTGAAGAAAAACTTCTTGGGCTTGCAAGGAATAATGCTTTTCAGTAAGTCCTGTGTATGTTAGAGAAGAAGAAATGTTGATGCTTAACATATTTTTTATTATAATTAATATAATAAAAATAGTTTTAACTATTGTTCAAAAAGTCCAGGGATAGTTAATACTTGGAAGTAATGTTTTCCTGATATTTTATAATTTTTGGGGGTTAATTTGTTCCAGTGCTCATCGTATTGCTGGAAGTTTTAAAAACATGCCTGAGATTGTAGCGTCAGAAATTGGTCAAAATTTTAGCAGCATAACTGTTGTAGAAGGAGGATCTCAGTATAACCATGAAAAAAACTGTGCATCTGAAGACATTTCATGCAAGACTAATCTCCATTGTGGCCTTGGTTATTCAAATAGACACCTGCAAGATAACATAGAAAATGAGGCAGATTTTCCTTTGTTTGCTTGCCCTTTATGTCCTGAAGGCACTGTTGGTATTAAAGATAATGAAGATTCTATAATTGATGGTTTCCAAAGTGATGACGAAAGTAGGAATGAATATTCTTTGAATATTTCTAAACAGAAGGGTACCTCCTGTACCATTGTGACCAGAACTGAAAGCGTAGGTACTAATATAGTATTAGAAAATGCTCTTTTAGAAATAAATAAAAATGAATGTGATGAGGATGATAATGAAGAGAGAGAAGAATGGGGGAATTCACATTCCTTAAAAGTAAATTCTTTGGAGGAGAGTGTGGTAAAAGATGGAAGTGTCCCTAACAATTCAAAAAGTTTAGATAATACTAAAGTAGAATGTTATATGTGCCAAGAATCATTTGACACTTTAGACTTGTGTTTAAATCATTCTAAAATGCATTTTAGTGATGGAAATTACCCTTGTTCTGTATGCAGTAAAATTTTTAATAATGAAATTGAACATGCTCACCATTGCACACTTCATACAGCTACAACAAAAAAAAATAACAATAGAAAACGTCTACAATGTGATATCTGTGAGAGGAGGTTCAACAGCCAAAGGACTTTTTTCAACCACTCGTGTTTAAATTCTGACACAAAACAATATCGTTGTAATGCATGCAAACGATCTTACAGTACTCAAGAACGGTTAATTTTTCACAAAAAATTTCACGAAGGAGCTCGACCAAATTTTTGCGAACGGTGTGGAAAAGAGTATGATAATGAAGGCGCTTTGTATTATCACACAAGGATGGTACATGAAGGAGAACGACCATATTCTTGTAATACGTGTGGCAAAAAGTTTTATTCTAATTCACGTTTAGTGTCTCACAAGCGAGTTCATACAGGGGAACGACCTTTTGAGTGCGAGGTGTGTGGAAGAAGATTCTATGACAGAGAAACACTAAAGGGACATTATGTAACTCACATGGCAGTTAAACCTTTTCAGTGTGATTATTGTGGGGTGTGTTGGGGTCGTAAAAGTCTCTTGAATCAGCATATACGAACCCACCATTCAGATGATAGCAGTGCATCTCGTCGAGTGCCTTCTCTTATTCATTATTACTGCAAAATGTGTGACCAAACGTTCACAAATTCAACTGATGTACTGATGCATCGAACAACGCATTGGAAGACAAGTTCACCTGATGAAGATATAGATCCCAGTGCTCATGTATGTGAATATTGTGGTGAATCCTTTTCCTTAGTTGCTATGCTTGTGAAACACAGGAAACAGAAACATCCTGATGAAAAACCCTTTGTATGTAGTCTTTGTAATACATGCTCACATACACTGTATGAAGCTCGGCTGCATAGAAACACACATTCATTGAGCAAAGAAATGAAAACAGAAGAAACAAAGGTTGAAAAATCTTCTACATTCATTTGTGAAGCATGTGGAAACATTTTTACTGAGAAACGTAAATTCATGAGACACATGCGTGAACACAAAGCAAATCATTCTTACAAATGTCAAGTGTGTGGTAAACAGTTTATTGATAACCAGAGACTCACAGTTCACATGAGACTTCATACTGGTGAAAAACCCTATCCTTGTCATGTTTGTGGCAAAAAGTTTTCTCAGACCTCTGCTCTTTACACTCATGCCCTCCTTCACACTGGGGAGAAACCTCATTCCTGTGATTTGTGTGGCAAAGCATTTCGAATCAAGGCTGATCGTGATAACCACAGAAGGACACATACGGGTGAAAAACCATACAAATGTGAATTTTGCAATAAAACCTTCAGAACTGGTCAAGTGTATTATCAGCATCGCATGATTCACACTGGTGAACGTAGGTTCCCCTGTAACATTTGTGGGAAAGCCTTCAAACGTTCCCACACTTTAGTAGTTCATAAAAGGATTCATACTGGTGAGAAACCAAATATTTGTGATGTTTGTGGGAAAGGATTTAGGCAGAGAAGTGACATGAGGAAGCATCGGGCACTTCATGGAACAACTGATCAAGTCATTTTTTAGCCCTAATGATTTATCTTTTTTTATTGGTTGATTGATTTTGTTTTTATACACAAATGTTTGTGAATGCTGATATCTAAATTATACTTTTCGATATACTGCTAAATATATAACTTGTACAAACTGAAACTTGTGTTTAACTTTTATTCCATGATAATATTCAAAATTAATTTTCTGTAAATATTAAACAAGCTTTGGTCTAATCTGTGACAAAAACTTGTTTTTTTCTTCTTCTTTCAAATACAAACTTCAAAGTATTCAATATCATGCGTTTTATATACAGCAGTAACATAAAGATTGTATGATGAAATTGGATTAGCGGGTAAAAAGCTTTTCCTATGGTATGCTGCTTAAAAAGAGTTGTTCTTATTAGATTGTTGAGACTATTTAATTAAGCAAATAAACTATGTCGAAGCAAATGTTGAGATACAAGTAGAAATTAAAATACAAAACTACTCTTGTCATTCCAAAGCGATATAGTTCTGCAGAAAATTATGGGGAAAAAAAACCACAAAGTTTTCAATAATGTGTAAAAACATACAAAATTATAATTTTAGATTAATGTGATTTTAATCTCAAGAATATTGCTGATTAAAAAAGCTGCCCATTAATTATAGGTTTGCATATGAAGTTTGATGTGAAAGTCCCTTTTCTTTATTGGTAGAATGTTTCCCATATCCTGAGTGCTATGCTTAAAAAATGGTTGTATCTGGTCAATTTTATGTTGCATTTAATTTTCCTTAGATATTCCAAATGTTTTTGAAATAAAAGGGAAATGGAGGAAATGGTTTGACGTATTGAAAAATATGCATTCAGTGTGAGACTGTCTCCAGACTGAAGAAAAGAATCATGTCATGGGTTTATACACAATGAAAGGACTTGGTAAGAGAATGATATTCCTATTAAATTGTTAAGCGTAGTTATCCATGTAATCTATACAGGACAGAGATGCCAACTATTAAAGATGGTCCTTAATGATTGTCGAGCTCTTTTCATTACAACATTATGGACAATATTTATGTGAGACAATAATGCTGTGGCAGCTTTTTTTTTCAGCAAAGCTTTTTTTTCTTTCTGTTAAGTTTCTTTGTGTAAATGAAAAATTGAAATTCAAAGTTCATGAGAATTAAGTGTGTTTGTTATAATTCTTGCATAAAATTTCTCATTGATGCGACAAGATATTGTTTTGGTCTTAATTAATCCTAAATATGATCATGGAATGATCTATTTTGATGGTACTTAACTTTGGTAGAAAGAGAGAGAAAAAATCTAGAAGTTCTAAGCTTCACAGAAACCAATATATCCATGTATTAATATTTGTATTTTGAAAGAAATACGTTATCACCATTTTACTAGAAGAAAAATAAATAAATAATTGTCGAGAAAGAACAACATTGAATTTGTAAATATTAAAATTGATATTTCAATTGTTTGTGGGCGATTCATTATTCTTGGGTGTAATACAAGCAAGATAACTTTTAGAATTCTCATTTCAAAATAGTTGTCTATTTTTCACAGCAATATAAAAAGAAGTCCTCAAACACATTGGTTTGGTGCATCTTTCTATTGTAAGGTATTTGTCTATTATATAGTATTTACTTTTTCAAGAATGACATATCATTGATCCATAGACTGGGAAACTAAAACTGTAAATACTGTAAGAATGAGATATTTAAATATGGTTTTAATTATTTTCAATTGTTTCCACAGTGTTTCTACCTTCAGAAACTTGCTGAATTAAGTACATTATTAGTTGTAACACAGCCTTGGATATTCCTTTACAAATCAGTGATTTTTGTCAAAACAGACTTACCCAAAGATAGGACTATAGTATCATGCAATACAAATACCTACAATTACAACTCGTTTTGTAGAAAGCCTCTTTATCAGGTGTTTGTATACCCCCACCCCCACCCCTCAACCTTGGAAATTTGTGCTGCAACTCAGAGTACAGTAACTTTAAGGAGAATAAAGTAAGTGCACTGTTTTAAGCATTGTTCATTAATCGAGTACTTAAGTATCTTCTCTCTGAGTTTCTTAATTTTTTTGTATTTTAGAGAGAAATAAACTGATAGAAAATGAAGGGGTGTTTTTAGCCAGTAGCTCTTGAATATTCAATTTTTTGACACTTCTCTTTATATTAGTTAAATTATACATTTAGTTTCTTTTGAGAACGGGAAATTGTATGATTATTACATAATGGAGTGATGACTACCCCTGAAATAACACATGTAATTCTTTGCCTGGACAAATCACTGTCATTGAATGTGATTTGGCGTGGGTAATTTTTGATTATGTAATGAACTTTTTTACAACCATGAATAAATAGTAATCCAGAAAATCAAAACCCTGAGTAAAATCAAAAATAGGACTCTTTGCTACTTCATAGCTAAAAAGAATTTGGGGGAAAATTATACATTTCTGTTATCGTTAATGTCAAAATGTTTACTTAACAACTTAAAAAAATTCATTAAATAAAGATGTAAACTTTTTAATACTGTTTGATCCATTCCTTGCTTCAAAATAATCATGAAGAAGGGGTGAGACTGTCCCACGCATCGCCACACGTTATTTACTAAAATCTGCCAAAAGTGGCACAAAGCCACCCTGACTTACAGCATATGTCATGTTTGGTCAAAGTGTAGCTCATACTGTTCCTGCCCCTAGCCCTGCTTTATATGTGCACACAGGACAAACAATAGAAAGATAAGCTACACTTTCACACAGGGTCAGTTCAAGGTTCATTAAGGCTTGGGGCACTAAACGTGAAGCCCCCCTCATGATTATATATTTATCAAAATTGAGAATAATGAATATTAACTTCCAGTAGCATATGTATATGA